ACTGTTTACTGGTTTGGGAGAGGTGTCTACCCTGGAACACATAGGGCGATTCACGTTGCAAAGTGGTGATGTAACCATAAAATGAGACTTTTCCCTAGTTCGTTAACAGGAGTAGCTTTCTCCTGGTTCATTAACTTGCCAGCGAACTCTGTTCAAACATGGCAACAACTGGAACGGTTGTTTCATGCTCAGTTTTACAAAACTGAATCTGAAGTCACTTTGGCTGATTTGACGAATTTACGTCAAATGCCAAATGAATGGGCAGAAAGTTTTCTCCAAAGGTTCAAAACAGCAAGAAGCAAGTGTTTTGTACCTCTGCCCAAAAAAGAATTTGTCAAAATCGCACAAGGCTGCTTAAGTTTTAATTTAAAAAAGAAGTTCCAAGACAAGGAATTTTCCGACCTTTTCTAGTTAAGTGCGAATGTCATTAGGTATGAGCGATTGATAAGAGAAGAAGAACAAATAAAAAATTCTAGCAAAGGGACTTACTACAGAGACCCGAATTTTGACGTTCATACCATCGATGACGAATCGTATGATCAGACCGAAATGTGTTTGGCCGAATTAGTAAAAGGGGATACATATTCTTGTCCCATAATGGCCAAACCTAGACCATCGGGCAAAGATAAACCCGTAAAGGATGGAAACATAAAGGCTAGAACGTTCTCGTTCAATGTAACCAAAGCTGACCTTATATTCGATAAGTTATATAGGGATAAGCAAATAAAACTGAGCGATAAGCACAAATTGCCTAACCCTGAACAAATAAAGGGTAAAAAATATTGTAAGTGGCATAATGCATGGTCACATTTGACCAACAATTGCTTGGTTTTTCGTCACGTATTGCAGGATGCTATTGAGTCAGGACGAATTACGTTCGACGATAAGAAAAAGATGGCAGTGGACGAGAATCCTTTCCCACAGCCACTTGGGGTAAACATGGTAACATCTGGATTCAAGAACAAGTTACCAAAATTCAAGTTAGTCATAGATGACGGAGAAGAAGATCCTAAACCACATCCCAGTGTCTTTGAACGTATCAAAGGAAAAGAACCAAAAAAGGACGAAAACGTCCTGTGTGCAAGGTGTAAAAGGGAAGTAAATGGAAACACGGAGAAACCAGAGACATGGCAGCATCCTCGTCGCCCTGTTTTCTTCCAAAACGTTCAGCCTGTCAGAGGACGAGGTACATCATTCTATAGAGGACCTCCTTTTGAAAGGCAGTTCAGACCAACGGATGTTGGAAGGACTTTTAGGCCGCAACCTCGCCGGCCAAATGTATGGCATTCATTCCAGTACACTGCAGGAAGAGCAATACCCTTCGACGAAATGACTAGGACTCAACAAAGGCGTTTCCAGCGAAATTACGGACGGATGATGAGG